TATACGACGACTGTACCAATTTCATTTGTTAAAATTTTGATGATAAATCGAATACTGGTAATAAATTAATTTTATACAAATAATTACATATTATGGTAAATTAATTTTCGGTTACGTTTTTGCAAATCCATGAAATAATTATTTATCAGTTATCATAATTAATTTTGAAACAATATTATTTATAACATTGGGAAAACAATCATTTTACTTTTATTTATTTATTTATTACTCAATAATGCATGCATTACCTACACTATAATCATAACAATATGCTTAAATTATCCATCCCTAAAATTATTTAAATCAATTTGAACACAATAGGTTTCAGTTTATGTAATACTGGCATTAAGAGTGAAATTTTTAAGGAAATTCAATTACATTTAACATCCGCGAAATTTGCATCTTATATGGTCTAATCTTAGGCAATCGTCTAAAATATAATTAAATTAAACTAGAGCATCTTCTAACGCGTGAAATTTATGGGCATAACTTTCAATTTTATGTTTTTAGAATTGCCTAAACAAATATAATTTTGCACTATAATTCTTTTAAATCATAAACCAAGTTTTTATCAAAATGTTTGATCTCTTAATATGTACGTATAGGTAAAAATAACAACACAGTCCTACAAATAGAATTATTCCATCATAAGCCTTGAAAATGTTTGAGATTTTAAATAATTTTAAAAATTATTAAAAAAATATAAAACTTTAATAAAAAATTCTGAAAATTTAAAATAAATAAAAATTTGTCCCATTATTTTCTAATTTATCTAACCGTGCGAATTTGTTCTATAATTTTTAAAATTATTGCCTTGTGTGACTTTGTCCTACCATTTTTTAAATATAGTAACAATTTCAACACTCGGTCTCTTTTTATAATTAAATAATTGTTTAGTAAGAATAAATGATATTTTTAATTTATTTATTGGATTTTTAATTTTTAAGAATAAACAAGGTAAAGTTTTACAATATTAATCGCTCCTACTTATTACCCATTAATAATTAAACCAATACATTTATTTTAATACAGATGACTGATTAAACGACTTTAGTGAAAGTATCAAAGATCTTTGACTTATGCTGACATTAAGCGCAAACGAAAAAATTGTCGCCTCATGTGCAACTATAGGTCAATTAGCTGTATTATGTAAATTGCAGCATCTTTGTCATATAAATGGGTTTTTAACAGTTTACATTGTACAAAATTGCATCATTTATAAGTTTAATTTTAAATGGTTATACATATATGTTATAACGTTTGAAAAGTTATTATTTTGTGATTATTTTTTTTGTCAACAATTTTATATAACCGTTATTTTTTTATTTATTTTTTATCCTCCAAATAAAAAATATACCCCACCATTATAATAGTATCTACTGAATATATTGCAAAATCATACAAAAGAAGTAACTCAGAGAGCGAGTAGATATCATTACTGAGATATCTTTTATAACATCGCGCAATATATTTTTTTCGATTGTACGAAAGGTAAATGTCAGATGTGAAGCAGAAACGTTCTGAAGTTGGCAAATAGTGAAATGGAGTTTCTCCCTTTTATTTAGCTTACCTACAAAAACAAAACTCGAGAAGGACGTAATCTGTAATTATATTTAAGTGGATTAAATAGGTGTTACAAACTTTGTTTGTTGTTGCAAATATTATATCAGAGATCATAGATAGAAGAAGTATTTATTCACGGTTTTAATTTCAAACATTGTGTAATTTATTTGGTTTGTTTAAAGATATTACAATATAAGCAAATCTTTTTTCACATTTTGTATTTTCATTTAGGTAAAACATCCTTAAATAACAATAAAAAAAAAACTTAATTACAACAAACAGGGTCTTATGGGTCCCATTTCCTTTTTATTAGAGTCGTTGATTTTTATACACCTATAAATAGCTTTCCAATTCAGAAAAACAAACATTAAATTGACAATTTTTTCCAGTCAGCCACATGCTGAATATATTCTAGTCTTATTTTTTGTTAAATATTATTGATGTAGGTACTTAATATTTTAGTGTCTTTGGGCAATTGTCAAATAGTTTTAATATTCTATATGGGTGATTCTACAAAAGTTGGGCAACTTTTGACCTCATTTTGTTTATATAGTTTTCGGAGAAAATTAAACAGTATTTTGTTATGAGAACATAGATAATATAATAAATATAGGGCCGGTTTTTCAATCGTTGGTTAACTTTATCTTACGGTTAATTTCCTTAGATACTATTGTTAACACAATAGTATCTAATAAAGTTAACCGTAAGTTAAACTTAACCAACGATTGAAAAACCGGCCCATACTGTTCCAGACCAGGCCAGTCACTTTTTCAAACAGTTTCTGAAATATCTGTTTTTTTCTAAATTTGAATGCAAGGGAAGTGACGAGTATACCAGGGTACTAATTAAATACATAATTTATTGGAAAATATAAGGTTTATTGCAACTTTGAGCATATTATACATTAAATATCTTAAAATCAAATAATACCACACATCAGTGGCGGCTGGTGGATTTTGGATATACCGATATCTCAATTATTGGATACGGGACCCACACCAAATTTATATGAGTTTATAATGACAATAAATAAACAAGTTCTGCGCAAGCAGAATTTAAATTGAAGTTTGCGAAAAAAAGATAACCGAAACATCGAACATGGAACTGTCGACATGGAACTGACGAAACGGATACAAATTTGAGATTATAATTCGGAATTAAGTCTTTTACTGATATTTTTTATTAGTGGATGCTAATTATCAACAAATAACATGTAGCCTTATATAAATTACAATGAACCACAGTATTGAAATATGGACTGGAACTATACGTGCATTCACCCCAACTTCGCCGCTTGCATTGTTTTCAAGATGACTGTCGTGCAAAGGGCGGTCTCTGTAGGTAATTTTTTACCAACAATTGAGTTAAAACGAGGACTTGACTTTTAAAATTCAATATTTCGCAGGAATTTTGAATTTTAACATTGCGTCACCTGAGAATTATAGTGTTCTATCTGCATTTTCTTTTTTTTATTCAGGTTAGTCTTGTTTTAAGTATTAAAGATGATATTGGTCTATCTATATATAATTGGGGTAGAAATTGTAAAGTTTAAGGTTTAAACTGTACAATTTCTACCCCAATTATATATAGATAGAACAATAAGCATCTTTAATACTTAAAACAAGACTAACCTGAATAAAAAAAAGAAAATGCAGATAGAACATTATAATTCTCAGGTGACGATTGGACACAGAACTGACGGGTAAAAGTGAGTACAAAGATTATCATTTTTTTTTAAATTGCTATTATTCGAATCTATGATAAAATATGATATGTATTTTGTAAATTATTATGTTTTTCTACAAAAAATACATTAAAATTGGGTGGACAAGTTAAAAAATCTTGGATCTTTTGTAATATACTAAAATATTTTCAAAAAATATTAAAATACCTACTCTATTGACTGATGACATCAAGTTGTCCAACTTTATAGAATCACCCATATAATAAATTGAACAAAATAAATATTTTTTTTAAGATAAAATTATTTTAGTACATAAAATTTGGATTTGCGAGAAAAAACAATATTGTATTTACAAACGCTACAACAAATTGTAAGCATGAGAACATATATGAGGAGTGATTTTTCAAAAGGCCTTATTTCCATTTTTACTTGAATGTAATTTAAAAGGCATATATTAACGGCGAAATATGACAGCAAGTATTATTAAATATTCATCAGATTTTTTTTTTTTAAATAATCTATGTTGCCCTAACCTATACAGGTTTTAGTAATTTTTTTGAAAAATTGTTGCAAATGGCAATACGACCTTTTGAAAAATCACTCCTCATATATGACCCCATCAGCATTACCTCCAGGTTTTTTTTACCCCGCAACTGTACAGCATAATCTGTGTTCCCCTCGACCAGGTATTTATTAAAACCCACATTCAATTGGGGTTTATAAATGGGGCTTGGTTAGTTAGTACGCTGTTGGAGCCTAACTTTGCTAGTCTTGTAGTACTACTTGTTCATCTGGGTCTGTGTCTCTGTCCGAGTCGGATTCTGGAAGTTGATACAAAGTTTTTTCTTGGGTACTGAATCAGTACTACTGATGTTTCCATCACTTTAGATTGAACTGTATGTCTTTTGTTCTTTTTTTTAGTGATATGGAAGCGCTCTGGTTAACTATTTGGGAAATACAGACGAACTTAGAAGAGAGCCTACACTTACAACCTTTTGCCTCGAAGTGTAGAGCGCAACTTGTGATATTAATTATCTTTTATCAAAAATATTTTTAATTTCAATTTTGTTCTTTCCCTTATATTGCTCATTATTTTTTTTCCTCTAAAACCTAGGTCGCGCTTTTTACAAAAAATCGTACAAATAATACAATGAAGTTTTTCTTCGGTTATCTTTAATTAGATTAGGTACCTACTTTCTTCAATATTTGGTGGGAAAAATGTGGGCAAAAACTATGTAATTTAATTTTAAAAAAGTAGACTTAATACAGTTTAGCTCTGGGTTACTAGCAATAGTACTTTTTGGCAATATTTTTATTCAAAAGTACCATTTAAATTTAAATAAAATGAAGTTATTAGTAATATTTTATTACTAAACTAAAACATGCAAATTTTTTAATAGTAGTATTGTTACATAAGGTACCAATATATTTTGCAGATAAAGTTGGGTTGGGTTGAAATAGGGGCCCATGATTATAGGTAGGTAGGTATAATACCTCGGCAAATTCTAAATGCGAGACAGTTAGATAAAAAAAATATCAAAAAGTTCATGCCTCCAAAACTCAATAATTAACTGATTATGGATGTATCTTCTTCCCCATTATTAAAATATATCAGTGACAATGAGATATTCAAGACACTCGTAGTTTTAGTTCACTAACAGGCAGTTGAACGCTCTGTGAAATAAAAAAATATTCAACACTTCAATTATCCAAGTTTACGTCAAAGACAAAATTTAATTTGTCAAAACGCCAAATTAGAATCAAATTAATTTTACTCAAGCAAACCCCTTTTTTAAACTCTTTTGACAAAAAAATCACTTCACAATGGTTTGGCCTACGGTTCTTGATGGCAAAGTCGATGATATGGCGAGCGAGGATGTGAAGCCGCAGCAGCTCGAAGCTAACGAAGCTAAAACCCTTTTGGAGCACACTTGTGCCTTAAACGTCATGTCCAAGGCGCAAAGCACCAGGATGACCGGAATTATTTGCACCATCGGTCCTGCGTCCAAGGAGCCTGAGTTCTTGGTCAAAATGATGGAGCAAGGTTAGCAAAAAAGTTTACACAGTAAAAAATTTTGCCCGTGTAAATTTTTTAGTGTAGGGGTAAAATATTAGAGTTGATTTTTAAGTGTAAAAGTTACACTTCAAAATACACTAGGTAGCATTTAGTGCTTATTAACTTTATTAAACACATTTAAAGAATATGAACATTATTCATGGGTACATTCACACTATTTATTATTAAAATAAATCAAAAGGGTAGACAAACTTAATGCGAGTGTTTATTACCCCTTAATGTGTTAAATAGTGACAAAATGTACACTACAGTGTATGCCAATTTCTTTATCTGTTTTTATGTTACTAAGATCTCATTTTTCTTTACACTACTAGTGCACATTGTATCACAATTAAAGTTAAATTACACCAATAGTGGCAAAATAGACTGTAAAAACTGGTAATAAGCGAAATGCGTTTGTGCATATCCGGAGATACCGCGTTGTGGAAGTGTGGCATTTTTGTTCAGTTAGAATTTAATTACGGTGAATCCATAAGGGGACATTCTTATTTTTTGGTAAGTATTATACTTTTCTTTAGGCCTTAATACTCAATAAATACCAATATGTTAAAAGGATGTCCATACCCGACCTATATTATATATCAATAATTTACAGCAGTAGGTCGGGTACTTGTAACATTAATAATATAAATACATACACATTTGATTAACTTTTTATTTTCAAGCGTAATGGTTGTTATATTATCCTATACCATGCCTGACGCCTCTCTACCAATGGGATCACCCATTTTTTAGAACAGAAAAATGGATTACTGATAAATTCTCAAGATAATTCATTGCTTACAAGTTGACAGCCAGTAAAACCTTGCATTGATCTAAAACTTTTACGTTTTAAGGAACTATTTTGCTTAAGCCAGCCATACGACTCAAATAAAAAATTATATTTTAAAAGGCACCGATTTTGAAAATTGTCATAGATTTTTGTTCCAAATAAATATTTCTCTTTATTTACCTTTTCGTTTTATTCACTACCACCAATAGGTTTTACTCAAATAATAGTGTTAATTTACACTAGAAGTTTGCACTAAAAGAGTAAAAGTACCTTTTTAAAATTAGAACTTTTCCAAAGTAGTGTTAATTTACACTGAACAAAAGTGGGATTTTACCCAGGAAGTGTAGAAGTACACGATTTTAGGTAAATCAACACTTTTTAATGCAGTGTAAAATTACTTTATCCTCAGTGCTATAGTGTTAAATCATACTTGCTTACTTGGGTAAAATTACACTACAAATTAACTCTAATTGTAGTGTTATAAAACAACACTATTTAGTGTGGACCTGTGTGAACTCTAATTAGTGTTGCTTAGAGTTGATTTTTTTTACTGTGTAATAATGTGTACAGTAGGGTGTTTCAAAAAAATCGACTTTTTGTTTTTCTTCAAATGGTCAGCAAATTCTTTCAGAGGATGTCAAAACAAAGACCTCGTTAAAATTTGAGCTTTTAATTTGAAGATTTAGAGGTCGCGGATCGCAATTTTCTATTTCCCATTTAAATAACATAGGAAATTTTTTTTTTTACTTTGGAATTTTATACGTCTATATCTAATCAACTTATGACAAGGAACATCTTAGATTTTTATAGTAAATTTAACGCTCTATAAAAAATGTCTCTTATAATTTTTTTATAAATTGATTTCTTCCAGAGTTATTCGAGGCCAAAGTTTGATTTCCATCGAATTTTCTCGTTTTTTCAACTTTTAGCATCATGTAGTAAAAAAATCACATATTTATATCTGAAACATAGGTTGTAAAAAAAACAAAAAAACAAAAAAACGTCACTTTTTTCCAAAGCCTACTACAAAGTTTTAATGAAAATATGAGTAATTTATTTATAAATGCATTTTTCTCGAAAATGGTGCATCTGAGAAATTCAAATCAAGAGTACCTATTTTTCGTAAAAAAACTATAAATTCTCATAATTTCATAAAAAAATTAAATTATTAACCCAGAAAAAAGTTGGGGCTATTTTTGTAACTTTGCCCCCTTCAAATGTTACGCCTATGATTAAATTTTAACAGTTTTGATCATAGATCTAGATTCACCATGTCAAAATTACCAAAGTACCGAAAATTCATTTGTTCATGTTCAACCTCTAGGAATAGTTTTAAAAAAAATATCCTCTTAGGCTCCTATTCAGGGGGCCGTAGCTCCTTTAGGGAGCATTTTTTGATACATGTTTATTAAACAAAAAAAGTGTTATTTTTATACGAATAATGCACTGTTTAAGTTTGGCCCCCTGATTTCGGGACACCCGTATAATGATAATTGTACCATAAATGTTAAAAAAACGCGAAAATTCGATGGAAATCAAACTTTGGCCTCGAATAACTCTGGAGGGAATCAATTTATAGAAAAATGATAGGAAACCTTTTTTGTAGAGCGTTAAATTTACTATGAAAATCTAAGATGATCCTTGACATAAGTTGATTCGATTCAGACGTATAAAATTTCAAAGTTAAAAAAAAAAATTCCCATGTTATTTAAATGGGAAATAGAAAATTGCGATCCGCGACCTCTAAATCTTCAAATTAAAAGCTCAAATTTTAACGAGGTCTTTGTGTTGACATCCTCTGAAAGAATTTGCCGACCATTTGAAGAAAAAGAAAAAGTCGATTTTTTTGAAACACCCTAGTGTACAGTGCATTATTTTTTTGGTTTTAGGTATGAACATTGCTCGAATGAACTTCTCTCACGGCACGCACGAATATCACGGCGAAACCCTGAAAAACTGTCGCCAAGCTGCAGAAATGTACAGCACGAAAATCGGTTACGTGTACCCCTTGGCCATTGCCTTGGACACCAAAGGCCCAGAGATTCGTACCGGGCTCCTGGAAGGCGGCGGATCGGCCGAAGTGGAATTAAAAAAAGGCAACACCATCACCTTGACCACCGACAAGGCCTACCAGGATAAAGGCAACGCCGACATCGTGTACATCGACTACGATAATATCGTGAAGATCGTTCAACCTGGCAATAGAGTTTTCGTCGATGACGGTTTGATGTCACTGATATGCAAGGAGAATAAAGGCAACAGTTTGGTGTGCACTATCGAGAATGGGGGAATGCTTGGAAGCAAAAAAGGTTTAACAAATATATTTTAATGTATCCTAAAAACTTTATTGTATCTTATTTTTTCCAGGGTGTAATTTACCAGGTTTGCCGGTGGATTTGCCGGCTATTTCCGAGAAAGACAAGTCCGACTTGCAATGGGGGGTTGAGCAGGGAGTCGACATGATTTTTGCTTCTTTTATTAGAGATGGACAGGCTCTGGCAGATATCAGAGATGTTTTGGGTATTTTTACACTGTCTTAGACCGGTTTTAAATAGTTTATGTAGATTTTTAACAATTAAGATTATTTTAGAACAATTTTAGTTCTCTTCAAAAATGTTAACCATTTTAAACAAAAGTAAAAAATTGCCTTAAATTTAATAGGTCTACTCTCTAAAAAGGAATTAGTCAAAAGTATCTAATTTAATAGTAAATAGTGGCTGCTTTTTCACTTGTGCCATGGAATACCATGGTATCCCAAAATTTAACATCCAATTCTTATGTAAAATTTTCCCCTGAATCCGAAAAACAGTTTTTGAGATATAGTCAATTTTCCATCTAATATGGAATTGACTATATCTCAAAAACTGTTCTACTTTTTTAAATTTTGACGGTATTTTCTGATTCAGGGGAAAATTTTACATAAGAATTGGCTGTTAAATTTTGGAATACCATGGTATTCCATGGTTAACCATGGCACAAGTGAAAAAGCAGCCATTATTAACTATTAAATTAGTTACTTTTGACTAATGTATTTTTAGAGAGTAAGGAATATACTTCACCTAAGAAATTAGGGGTAGAACTTCAGTCCATAATAAAATTTTATATGCACGTTAATTTACTTTTTAAAAGCTTTTTTAATTAACTAATTGATTTTCTTTAAAAGCACCTTCAGTTTTGAGGGGAAAATATTTTACTTGCAAATCTCTTCACACTTTTGCGCAGTGGACACAACCCTTCAAATTTTATTAAGCATGATTGGGCAAGACTTAGTGGTAGAGGAAACTTTGAAAATAGTCAAACATTTTTAGACAATGGGCCATTCCACCCGTAACGGATAGGACAGTTGCCGTGTTTTTATTTACAAAATAATATTGTTTTATTATATTACCAATGTCAAATTTTTATAAATAGTTCTAAACTAAAGCTGTTTAACAAGGTTTTTATTTGTCAAAATTAGGTATCGTGGTTGATTGTTTAATTCTTTAAAAACTAATCATTTAAAGCGTAACGGACGGGACTTTGTAATTGACATTAGTAATATAATAGAACAATATTATTTTGTAAATAAAAACACGGCAACTGTCCTATCCGTTAAGCGTGGAATGGCCCCAATATAATTTTTTTTTTTTTGATTTATCAATTGGCGTACTAAATGCTTTGCAAGAAGCAAAGTAATATTAAAAGATTTTCGTTACAATTTTTTGACAAAAAATAGAGTTTAAGTTAGTGCAATTATTGCGCATTTTAAAAATGGGCTCCCAATTTTGGACACTCCAAAATTAATAAACCAGTTTTTTCAGTAAAAACATTTATTAGTCGTATTATTTTTTTAATAAATGTTGAAATTTGAATAGTTCATAATTTTTAAATCCTAATTTTGCATAGGGTAAAAATTTAATGAGAAACGGGAACCATCCGAAAACTTTACTTACTAGGGGTTAAGTTATTTTAAATAAATTCATTAAAAAAATTCATAGTCTTAGCAAATAAAAGGTCCTAGACAAGATTTTAACCTCCCAGGTCCATATTCCCAATAAATTGGCTGAATATGTCAAAAACTTTTTTCAGAAGAAAAAAAGAAAAAGTTCTAATAATATTTTTTGCACATGATTTTTTTATATTTTAAACTACCACTGGGATTTGTCAATTTCAAACATCTTTATTTACCAAACTAAGAGGTTTTTAACTTCTTCGGCATTTTTATTATCGTTACCATTAGCTCTTTCCCGGTTTCAAAATCATTTTAATTTTAAACCTTAATTTATATCATAAAAAATTACTTAATTAAAAAAATTAATTTGTTTAGGCGAGAAGGGCAAAGACATAAAAATCATCTCGAAAATCGAATGCCAGCAAGCTTTAGTGTGCATCGACGAGATCATAGAAGCCTCTGACGGCATAATGCTGGCGCGCGGCGACCTCGGCATCGAGATACCCACGGAAAAGGTGTTCATAGCCCAGAAGTCCATCATTGCTAAATGCAACAAGGTATTTAGTCGTAAAACTTTAATCTCGAATTACCAACTCATGTTTGTTTGTTTAAAGGTGGGCAAGCCGGTAACGTGCGCCACTCAAATGTTGGAGTCGATGACCCATAAGCCCAGGCCCACTAGAGCTGAAGCTTCGGACGTCGCCAACGCTGTTTTGGACGGCTCTGATACCGTCATGTTGTCTGGCGAGACGGCCAAAGGAGATTATCCCCTAGGTAATAACGTTATAATTTTATATATGTATATATATATATATATATATATATATATATATATATATATATATATATAGCTGTGTCTACTCTCTTAAAATGAATTAGTCAAACATGACTAAAGCATCCAATAATAGCTGCAGTTCACATCAATTTGTATCCCGGATATTTATCCACTTAATCCGAAAATGTCATCGAAAATTATAGTGCTACCCCCGCTAATAATATTAAAATTCATAAAATTAATGTTCTACTCATGATCCACCTGAATTATGTCCCAGAGTGCTTCATCTGTGAAATGAGGTAAAATTAACAAAATTGCAAGACCTTAATAATACCCAAACACTTAAATTAAATGCGAAATTTGCAACCTTAAGTAACTAACAAAGAATTCCACCAGGTAAAAATTAATTAGTCGCGAATATTTCCCATAAAAGCAGCACCAAAGAAAAAGAACTCGTACGTTAACATAAACATTATTAAATCAGTCAAACACTAGGCAAAAGAAACTCGCCCTAAAGAAATAAACATCTGTAGATTACAAGGCACACTTATGGGGACCATAAATTAGGTAACCAAGCGAAGGTGACGTAATACGTCTATGCGTAACCGACTCGGACACAGACGAACATGAAGTACTAAAAGACCAGCAAGAATAGGTCCTAGCTGCTTACTAACCACCCAAGCGCCATTCATAAACCCCAATGGAATGGGGTTATTACTAAATACCTCCTTAAGGAAGATTCCGGATTATACTTAGTTTTGGTTTAGTTCAATGTCCCTCAAAAACCAAAACGTTCACCCTCCTGGTTCAACACTCCACTTCCCTAAATCGGGCGTATGGCCCTGCCCGGCGACAAAATTCTGGGATCCACCAAACACAGGTAGTGCTGTGCAGTGGCGGGATACGGTTTAATGTTGGAAAGAGTGTAAACATGTAGGCAAAAAATATGTAACGTAATTTTAAAAAAGTGGACTTAAGACAGTTAGCCTCTGGGGTAGAGATATACTTTTTGGAAATTTTAGTAGTGGTATAAAAATTAGATAGTTCTAAAACAGGTTTAGAACAGTTTGGGAGTAAAGACATTAAGTTGTTAGGCACTTTAACAGTATTTCTTTTACTATAGTTACGTTTTAACATTTTAAATTTGTATTTCAGAATGCATTGCTACCCAGGCGTCTGTAGCTAAAGAGGCAGAAAGTACCGTGTGGCACAATGCTTTGCTTGAAGATTTACTGGATGTTACACCTTACCCTGTGGATGCAGCTCAAGCCATAGCTATTGCAGCTGTTCAAGCTTCGTTAAAATGCTGCGCCACCGCCATAATTGTTATAACAACGACCGGAAGAAGTGCATATTTGGTGGCCAAATTTAGACCCAGGTAATACATTTTATATTTTATTTTTGTCTCAATATCAATTGAGGTTAGCAAAATCATCGCAGCTATATTATTTTTCAATGGCAACTAAATACCTACTATAATAACATAGTTATTCATACTTTATATTTATATTCTATAATACTAGAGAGTTTTTTCGAGGATTTTTAGACATCATTTTAGACAGTTAAATATTAAAACGTTTTTGCCCTAAATTCCCCTTAAAACTGGCTTAAAACATATTAAACACCTTAGATTCTAAGCCTAAGAACATTTTGTATAGTTTTTACAGCTACAAGACCTTTTAGAAACTTTTGACAGTTGCGTTTTTTACAGATATACATAGATATAAGACAAATTATACATTTTAGACAATTTTAGGACAATTTAGAATGTTTTTATAAATCTTACAGTTCTAAAATCGTCATAAAATTTAAAATATTTTGGACAGTTTTAACAACAGGTTATTGAGGCTTTTATCTAAAACGTTTTAAAAGTTTTATGAAATATTTTAGTCAGTTTTGAAGAATTTTTAAATACAGTTGTCAAATGTCATGCAGTTTTAGGAAGGCAGTAACTTTTGGTCAAACATTTGATTTTTGGCGGAGACTGTACTTCAACTAATTATCTATGATGATAGAGTCTATGTGCTTCAAAAGGAGTCAAATACTGCCTAAAATCCTATTTTAAAAATGACATTTAGTGCAAAGTCGACAATCTCCACATAGAATTGCAGCAAAGTATACAATTTTCAATTCCACCATTAGAAATTAGTAATTTGTGTCACCTGATATCCTGACATTTGACGTTATATTGACGTTTTATTGAAGTTATATTGTTTTAAGAATTATAAAAAAAAGTTATCTTGTTTATTTTGTGCTATTATACCAAGACGTAAAGGTAAAGCAAGAAAAGGCTGATAACTATAAAAACTTTTTTGCACGAGGCAACCTGGTCCCAGATTTAGAAGAAACTCCAGATTTATGTGGTCCAGTTCAGAATTTTCTCACATTGATTGTACAGTTAAATTTTATAACCATTAAAGGAATAAAAATACAATTATTTTTTTGTTTATATTTCTTAATTTTTCAATATTGTTACTAAAGTGAAAATGTCCTTAAACGTTTACAACAAAATGAGCAATCTCCAGCAATATCAAAGTCAGCAATCTCCAATTTATAATTATAGTGTGTTAAAGTAATGAAATGTGTATTTATTTCTAACAGAACAACATTTAGTGCCACATTGTATTTTTTCTAAATGTAAATAAATTATAGTTTAATATAATATTTTGTAAAATTACCCAAGCATTTTTATCCTAAACAAAACTTAACAGGTTTGATAAGCAGCTTAGGTGGGCTTATTTAGTTTAGTGCCTGAGCTGCTTATAAAACCTTATTATCAAGTTTAGTTTAGTATAAAACTGCGCGGGGGAAAATATTAAAACTCATCAATAAGGTTTTATAAGTGGCTCAGGCACTGGCCAACTTACTTTAGCGCCTTCTCAATCGTCAAAATAAAACGACTACAATGATCTTTAGAAAGTGAGGTTAGAATAGTCTGACGGACGTCAGATTTTATTTATTTTTGAAAATTATTTAATTTTGTTTTCGTATAGTATACAATTCGTTTTATAAACTAAGCTCGGGCCTAATAATTAATTATTAAAACTATCAAACTTGTTGCATAATATTGTATAAAAAAAAATTTAAAAGTTTTTTATTTTATGATAAAAAAGGTTTTCGACCAAACATTACACATTATATCATTCTAGTGCAGGGATGGCGAACCTATGGCACGCGTGCCATGAGTGGCACGTTTTAAATTTTTCTTGGCACGTTTTGAGAACAAAATTTGTTCATCTTAGGCTAATTTTTAAGTTTAATAATTTGCGTATTTTATTCCAATTAAAACGTAACTTATAACTAAACTCCGTAAAATTTAATGTTAGCCTTGTAATCATAAGCGACAAATACCTATTACAATTTTTAATAAATATCGCTAGAATTTTATCTAGGTGTTAAATATCAACAACGATAAAACTTCTTTGTTTGTCAAGCTTTTAATTTATAATCTTGAATGTTTTATTACAAAGTTTAACTTAAGAATAAGCTACATTTTGATACTATACAGACTTAAATATCTTGAACAATAATGATTTTAAAAAGAACCATGAATTTTAAAACAAAATGGGTTATTTTTATAAAAAAACAAAAATGCCATTTCAAGAAATTTATAACATAGAACCTTTTTAGTAATTTAATGCTCCAAATAAAATAATTCTATTTACAATTTTTATGAACATCTATTTTTAAGTATGCATCTTTGTTAGATTTTGATCTTTTATTTCTTCTAAATCGTACGGTACAGATATAATCTAATGAAAAATAAACGAGACTAAATTTATTTCTTAAAATATAACAATGTATAAAAAAATTTCTAAATAATGATTTACTTTTTTTTATAATGTTTTTGTATACTTTCATCTTCATAACACTTTTTTTATAGTTTTTTTGGCACGCACACTAAAAAAGGTTCGCCATCCCTGTTCTAGTGGATATTGTATGCGTATAAGTCAATTTTTGACTTGATAAAAATGGTTTTATAGTTGATTGTCCCAAATTGGAATCTGAAATATCTTCTCTTGTGTTTCAGATGCCCAATTTTGGCGGTAACGCGTAACGAATGGGTGGCAAGACAATCGCACTTATACCGTTCCGTAATCCCCGTAATCTTTGACAAACCCCGAAACGAAAACTGGGTACAAGACGTGGAGAGCCGCGTAGAGTTCGGTATCAATTTCGGAAAAACGTTCGCTGTCATAAACCCCGGTGATTCAGTGGTAGTGGTGAAAAATTGGTGCAAAGAAGCATTGTTTACCAATACTGTAAAAATTGTGACCATTGAAGGGGGGCCAGTTAATGGAAAGGGCGCAGGCGAAGGCCAAGGGTGCAAATGCAAAGAAAATATTTGTTAGGGGCATAAAAAAATTAAAAGTTTCAATTTTGTAAAATTGTTTTACTTATGTTTTACATGATCATGTTACATAGTTCGGGCAGTTTATACAGTTACTTGACAGTTTCAGGACATTTTAGACAGTATTAAGATATTTTGGGACATTTTAAGACAGTTTAAAGTATTTTTTCTACTCCCACCTTTAAAACGCCCTTTATCGTACATGATTCCATGACACTAAGTGACCTTTTCAATACACATTGACAAGTTGTGGCTTTACGGCGCTTTAGTCACGGGCTGAAGTTAGCAATAGGTTTTTTACTCACGGGCTGAAGTTAGTTTTAAGTTGGTTGACAGTTGTCAAATGTCATATAATCGTTAACATAAAGTGCCTTTCTTGTAAAATACTACTAAATGTGAAAATTATTTTATTATCTCAATACAAAAATACAAAAGTATTAAATAGTTTCTCAACGCCAATATTTGTTAAGTTTATATTAATTAATTTCGCCGGCAGTAAAATATAACTTAAATTCGGGCACGGACTCTACTGTAGTCCTCATAAAATATATTCTTTACTTTCACTGTGAAAACTGTCAATTTTCAAGAAATACATTTCGATTTATAACCTTTATAATTGTGTTTATAAAATAAAAAAATGTGACATTTGACGATGACACACAGTTTCCCCTATGGCGCTCTATACAAATTTTTGATTTAAATAATTTTAAGACAATAATAAGTATTTGTCGTAGAAAAAGTATAGTATAAATTTTGATTTTATAGATTGGCTATTCTTTAAACAGCATATATTTTGCATATTGGTTATAATATTTTTATGATTTTTCTAGTACTTACGAGACTTTTCTGGCAAAAAATTTTGTTTTACACCAAAGAAAATCCTTTTTTTATTCTTTAACATTAACAGCCGCTTATTGTAAATAAGTAAATTAAGGACGGCATGGCGAATCGATTTCGACATTAACTGTCAAACCAATCACTGTGATACCAACTATCTAGAGTAAAATTCGACAAAATTAAATTTAAGGTATGAAATTATTTTTTTTTTATAGAATTTTTGCAAAATAGATAAAATAGCATAAAGAACTCATGTCATAAGACCTTTTGTTGCACTTGTCTATTACAATACTCGCTCCTGCGTCGCTAGTTTTTTAAATAGTTCTTTAATATACTATTATCTACTCCTACGTTGACGAGCTGTGAGATTATGGCGTTTTAGTCACGGGCTGAAGTTAGCAATAGTGGCTTTTGAGCATTTTAGTCACGGGCTGAAGTAAGCTTTATTATAAATTAGGGAAAAGTGAGGTTAAATCAGTTTAAAGTTGACATATGTCAAATGTTTAACAAATAAAATTGGCTTTAAATTTTTCTTTTTGTTCGTCGTAGATAAAGTATAGTATGCAACTCGTTTTATAAACTTCCCTTACTTAATCACTTGCTCGCAAGCTTCGCTCATGCCTAATAAAACTCGTAACTAAAATGGCGTTTATAAAACTTGATACATAATATAATATTAAACAGTTTAAAGATATTTTAAAGCAGGACATAGGTACTGGACAGACTACTATTTTACAGTTCTATAGAATGTTTTAAGATATTTTAAGATGATTTTAGAATACTTTACAGTTTTAGCCTTTTTACCAATACTGTGACATATGTAGATATCGCTTAAGCTCATAAAAAGGAGGCAAAGTTCAAAATATTTACATTGTAAAGTAGTTTTTTCCTGCCAAACGAAAACTAGAATTCTAACCTAACTTTTTCAGATGTCCCATAATTATGGTAACAAGAACAGCGGGCGTGTCAAAACAGTCTCACCTGTACAGGTCAATAAATCCGGTATTCTATGAGCCAGAAAAAGATGGCAACTGGCAAGTTGACGTCGACAATAGAGTTAACTACGGTTTGAAGTTTGGAATGGACTATGGCATCATAGAACTCCTTGATCCTATTGTGATTTTATCGGGGTCTGAAGCTGGTTCAGGACATACAGACACTTTAAGGATGGTTTACTGCGAAGGTGGGCCAGAGGGGACTTGTTTGTCTTCGTGCAGAAAAAAATAAAAATAGAATGTATTTTGGGGTGTAAATAAAAAATTACCGTGAAAAAGCGTTTTCTTAAAATTCACCATTTTTACCAATTTTTGTTTATTTTTTAAAAAAACGTAGGGCATTTTAGACTAAACATTAAAACAACGCCTAAAAACGGAAATAATGAACTGATAATTAGTTTTTAATATTAGCATCAATGATTGGCCGATTTCATTATTCACTGTAATTTGGACCAATCGGGTGGTTGCAATTCCAAAAACATCATAGTCGGCCCTGGTATACTAAATAAAATCTGACATCTGTCAAATAATTAAATCTCACTTTTTAATTTTTATATTATTTATATTTTTATTTCTCTCAATAAAATGTATTTAATAGGAGTTGAAAAAACACATTCTAGATAATGTACCTACATGTATTTACCCGAATTATTTATATCATTGAACATGCCTGCATTATCAGCCGTATGATAATGAACTATTATGGGCATTTTTAAATTTTAGCCTTATTGGGCGGAATTTTTTACCTCCGCGGCCTGCAAAACCTCTACCAAATTATTTTGAACCTTACACTTTTTGAAAACTGGACTAGAATAGAAATTGTATTTTTTTAGTGATATATTAAAATGTCTCGAGTAAATAAATTTACTATTTGAAATCAACGAAACTTTGAATAGTAAAAGCATTGAGTTCTTTACTCAATGGTAAAAGTAAGAAAATTTTGCCAACAATCAGGAAAGACAAATTATAATTTTCAAATCTACATATATTTTGAGTTTTAACTGCTATTCAAAAATCAACTTCTTTCTTTAACAAAAGCACCTAATTATTTCAAACAATCGACAACTAACTACAGATTTGACAGTTGCATTTATCACTAGCGCCATCTGCTATTTTTTATCGGACTACAAAAAAGGGCAGCTTTAATTTTAATAGTATTTAAGATTTAACTTTTGTACCTACCAGTTTTGTGCCCAGCTTTACCAGAATCTGTCAAAAAACGTTATAGATTTGTGTGAAATTATCTTAAGTAGAAAAATGACACTATCAACTTTTCTAGTAAAGTTGAATTCACACAAATCTATTACTTTTTTTGACAGATTACGGTAACGCTGGTTGTGCCAGAAAGCAAAATGGTTAATTTGAATGATTAGGCTTTAAAAAATACTATTTATGATAATTATTACATTTTAAGATAAACTTACAAATTAGTACCCAATTAATGTTCAATTTCAGGAAAAAATACTGGAGACCCGGACAGAAGGGGAATTATATAAAATTTAAAATAAACTAAAAAATTATATTATAACCTTTTTAAAATAAACTGCAGAGGGGGGCCGTTTTTTTAAATTAAAAAAAAATGGCCTTATACAGCTGTAAAAAGTACTAAAACAGTTTCTAGTCTTGGGACTAGGGTTTTAGGGGTCGAAAAAAACGGAAAATTGGGGGAAAAAACTTTTTTGAAAAAATTGGCTTTTTTGTGTAAAATTTAATTTATTTTCTTTTAAATACCTATACCTACACATTTGAAAAGCGTAGCAACATTATTTTAATTTAAAACGAAAAAACTAAAACAAAAACTAAATATTGAATTAAATTAAATTAATTTAAGAAAATAAAGGTAATCGTCGGCTTTTTTGTAAAAGTCCATTTAAAATATAATAAAACAAAAGTAGAATATTCGGTAGAATTTTTTTATTAGTAAACGGATTTCATCCGAAAAAAATTGTAAATTTTTAGGAAAATTAAATTTTGCATTTTATTCGTATTAGCTTTTGAATTAAATGAAAATAAATGCAAAAGTCAATTTTTCTGAAAATTTAACAATTCTTACGGATGATATCCGTAAACTGAAATCAAGAAAAAAGTGAATTTCCGACGCTCATAATATTATGATTATAATTTTTCCTTTTATTGAATCGTAAAATATACTGTCGGTTGGGTATTTTTTGCAAAAAGGACTCCCTTTAAAATATCCAATTACAAAATATTAAATGATATACTCGTATAAAGTTAAATTACAAAATTATAATTTTCAAAATCAAACTGTCAAATAAATCAAAAGTATATGTTAATACAGCACCGAATTTTTTGTTTGTGAATTAAAACAAAAGGAATAATTACAATCATAATATGATTATAATCAAAGTCGAAAATTCACTTTTTTTCATCCGTAAAAATTTGGAATTTTTTAGTAAAATTGACTTTCGCATTTTGAATAAAATTTAAAAAATGCAAAAGTAAATTTTTCAGTTTTTCCGTTTTTATCCGCTGGCTCAAATTTTCCGGAAATTTTAAAACTTTATTTAGAACTTTTACACAGTTTTGGGGCATTTTAGTTTAAGTAGAATTTTACTTTAAGTAGAACTACCATTCCACGCGTAACGGATACTACAGTTGCCGTGTTTTTATTTACAAAATAATATTGTTCTATTATATTACCAATGTCAAATTTTTATAAATAGTTCTAAACTAAAGCTGTTTAACAAGGTTTTTATTTGGCAAAATTAAGTATCGTGATTGACTGTTTAATTCCTTAAAAATTAATAATTTAAAGCGTAACGGACGGGACTATTGCAAAGTAAATTATGAATAAAATCTACTTTGTAATTTTTAGGTGCCCCATTCTTGCTATAACCCGAAACGCCAGAACAGCGAGACAATTGCACCTCTACAGAGGAATAATCCCTCTATTATACGAAGGAGAAAGAAGTCCAATTTTTGAGGAGGATGTAACGAATCGACTGCATTACGGAATGGCTTTTTTGAGCGGCAGAAGGATCGTGAAATCCCAGGATTGCATCCTTATCTTGTCGGGTTGGCAGCCCGGAACGGGGTTTGCCAACTTGCTAAAAATTTTGTATGTCGAGAGCGACGGAGATGGTACTTGTGAGGGGATTTGCGACCCCGAATACCAGTCTCGTTTGTTGTTATAATATTATATTGTTGTGT